TGTAAACTGACTGTGATTTACCAAACATGTATGATAGTACCTGCTTCCTCATTACTCACCTATGTGTGGTATCATCAGATTTTAAAATCTTTTAAAATCACATGGGTGTGGATTAGTATCTAGTTGTACTAGTTTTGCTTTTCTTAGGTGATCTTTGAGCTTGAACATCTTATGTTTGTTTGACCCTTAGGGTTGCTCCCTTTCATAAGGCTCATGGATTTTATCTATTTTTTTCCTGTTAGGTTGTTTGTCTTTTTACTGATAGGAGCTTGTGTTTGTTTACAAGCTCTTCTGAGTATTAATCTTTTGTGGGTTGAATGCAAAGTAGCTGTCTTTTCCAAGTCTGAGGGGAACTAAAACCCAAGTCTTGCTCCGGTAAGTGTCCTTAACAGCCTCTCATTGCTAACCACATTAACTAGATGCTGAGAAGGAAAACTAATTCCCAGTAGGTGCAGCAATTGTATGCTGTTAAATTTGTGCACAAATTTGTCTTTGAAGTAGTTGGGAAAGTTTGAAAAAATATATTAACTTTATTCAGCAAATTTGTACTTAAGAAATATACAAATTATATGTCATTGCTAACTGCTCAATAATTACAAATTTATAAAATATATTTGAGAAGAAGATAGATTTTTGATAGTGAAAGCATGTCCTTAAAGTGTGACAGATTTGTAAGCATGTTCATGGTTTGGCCAGAGACATAGAGTGCACTGTAGCTTATTTCCTATCAGTCTTGGCCTCCAGACTTAATGTATCATGGATTTGTCTTTCCAAGTCATAGCACCCTCTTCAGATGGACACATCCTTGAATGTATTTTTTTTTTAAAGCTTTTGATTGGAATCCTTACTTAAGAACATTGTGCTAGGTTTTTCTCTCCTTTAAAAGTTATGAAAGGGGGCCGAGGATTTATCTCCATGTTTCTGCTGCCTGCCTCACAAGTACAAGGTCCCAAGTTCAATCCGTGGTACCAAAAAATAATATAAAAGTTGTGAAAGGAAAAGCTGATCACGGTGATACACACCCATCATCCCAGCACTGTGGAGGTGAAACAAGAGGATTGCCAGAGAGTGCTGAGAGTTCAGTCAGTCTACGCTGCATAGTTCATTCAGGGCAAGCCTGCGTGATATAGCGAGATCTGTCTCAAAAAAAATAAAAAAAGATGATTGGAAAAAAGTACAGAAAAGCGGAGATGCTGATAATAGTCAGGTGTTTCTCTGTTTCAGCCACCTCCTCGCTGGTTTGCAGTGCTGCTGATTTCTGGGCAGCCATGCAAGTGAGCTTGGTCACCTAGCAACAGCAGCTGGAACCAATCTCTGATGCAACTGTGTGTAAGGACCTGCAGTCAGAACAAAGGCGCCTCTTGTTACCATCTAAGCTTTTTTGCTATGTGCTACCAGAATAAAAACTATGAAAGAAGTTTTCCTATTCACCTTGGTGGTTTAAACTGGAAAATTGGAGTGGTAGAAGGGACTCAGAAGAATGCATTGCTCACTCACCCTTATTTGTTTCCAAAAGGTAGCAAATAGGACTTACGGTGGGAATATAGTTAGAGATACTCCTTTTTTTTTTCCTGTTGGTACCAGAGATTGAACTCAGGTCCTTGCACTTGCAAGGCAGGCAGCAGAACCACTGAGCTAAATGCCTGGTCCTGTTAGAGATATTCTGAGTGTAGGAGGTATTTGATTTTTCTCAGTATGAACCATAGTAAGCTTTAAGGAAGTAAATGTTTATGAAGAACAATGATATAAACTGTTTAACAAAGCTGAAGGACAGTTTTTAAATGTTAGACTCTTTAAAGTTTTCTAGATGATGGACGTGTGTGGGCGGGCAGGCAGTACAGGAGATTAAACCTAGGGCCTTCATGTTGAGCTACATCTCCAGCCCTTTTTAGTTTTGATTTTAAGATGTGCTCTGGCTGAATTGCTAAATTACCTGAGCTTGGCTTGAACTTGTGATCCTCTTAACCTCAGTCTTCCAGAGTGCTGGGGTTAGGTGTATGCCATTACTTATGGCTCATTTGCTGTGTAATTAAAGTTATTCAAGGAATATTTTTGTTTGATCTGATCAGTTACTGTCTGGTAGTGGCTTATTAAGTTCTGACTTGATGTATAATGCCAAGTAAAATTGTCTTCAGGAATACATGTTCCAAAGTTGTTTCATATTTTCCTGGGGAATAGGTACCTGAGTTGATGGGATTGGAGAATAACCATTTGGTGGTTAAGTAGAAACCTGGAGGTTGTGTTTGGGAAGAATGAAGTCATCAGATCAATGAAGAACCTGTCTTAGCCTCAGTGGTTCCAGGGTATAACTAGCACTTAGACATCACAAGAGTAAAGTGGCAGATTCTTGAGTTTGTAATGCATTTTGCCATACTCATATACCCATCCTTTTATTCATTTGGATGGCCTTTAGGGAAATAAAGTGAGACAGCATAATATATACCATCTTCTGGGCTGCTGCTCTAGTCCAGAAGAAGAACAAAATAGACCACTCCATTCTAGCTGTCATAGGCAAAGAGAAATGACTTGCTTAGAAGTATCAGTGAACTGTTACAAAATTTCTTCTCAGTGTGCAGAATCTAATAAGCAGAAGTGAAACTTGAGAATCTTATACAAGTGATTGTGGTTCTTCACTGTTAGTGAGCCATCTGTCCAGTATGTGCAAGTCCTCTGGTGCAGTCCCCAGCACAGAAAATCTATGGTTAAAAAAAAAGTGTGATTGGGCCGGGGATTTAGCTCAGTGATTCTGCCACCTGCTTCACAAGCATAAGGTCTTGAGTTCGATCCCTGGTCCAAAAAAAAAGATTTTTAAAAAAAACTTTTTTTCTTTTGTCTGAATGATTCCAAATCTTATGTATTTAGGCTACTGGTTGAACCTCTAAAACAGGGTGGTAGATAGTGGTAAATGGCTCTTTATGGAGCAGAAAATTGTGCTTAATTTTGGAGAGGAACATTCTTCTGTATTGTGATTGTGAATAGTTGGTTGTCTGCAGTTGCTGTTGGAGGTTACTATCTGTTCTCATATGTCCTATAAAGCAATTCCTTATTAGACAGTATTTTAGTAGTGGTTGACTAGGATTGTTGTTTCAGTTACATCAAAATGATTTTGTCTAGTTGGCTGTAGTTTTAAATGCTAGAGGTTATTAGAGGGCAATGCCTCTGAAAAAATGAAGGGGTCAGAAGCAAACTAGACAAAGACTTTCAGATTCTGTTGTGGATCTGCACCTCTTGTACTCTTGATGCTCTGGATTTCCTTCTTTATTGTCTGAAAAACTGACTTCAGCAATTGTTTTAGAGCAAGTTTGTCAGTAACACATTCATCTGAGAATGTTTTATTTTCCTTCATCTAGGATTGTCGTTATTTCATCTTCATTCCGAAAGGATATTTACACTGGGTATAGAATTCTGAGAATAGTGTTCTTTTTGTAACTTGAAAAATCTTGTATCACTTCTTTGTGGACCTTATGGTTTCTTTTGAGGCATGTGCATTCGTTGGAACCACTTTCTTTATCAGCTTCCAAATTTTTTGTTTTCAGTTTTCAGCATTTGTGAAGTGTTTGTTTTTTCTTTTTGGAGTACCCTGGGGTTCTTGAAACTGTAGGTTTTTATCACTGGCAAATTTGGGAGATAGTATTCAGATATTTCAACTAAGCTTCATTCTTTCTCATTTGCTTTGTTTGGTACCGGGGATTGAACTCGGGTCCTTGTGCTTGCAAGGCAGGCCACTGAACCGCTGAGCTAAATCCCCGGCCCTCATTTGCTTTTTTGATGATGTCATTGTTAGGGCCTTTGTTTTCCTACAGGCAGTTGAGGCTGTGTTCATAAAAGCCTCTTTTCTACTGTTTAGATGGAGCATCACTGACTTGGTACCCCTCCACTTCCTTCTCTTTCTGAGCCCTTCCAAGGAAATTTTTTACTTTGGTTACTGTATCTTCTAAATCTTTGCTAATAAGCCTTTATGGCTTATTTCCACAATGTGTGTTTGACCTTATTCTTGGAGTACTTTTGTAATAATCACTGTGGAGTCTTTTTTAATGATTCCAACATCTGTGTCATTTTGGTGTTAACATCTGTTGATCTTTTCCAGTATGAGCTGAAATTTCCTTGGTCCTTTGTATGCCAAATATTTTTTCTTTATACCTTCAACATCGTGAGTGTTATGCTTTAGTACTCTCATTTGTTTGAATTCTATGTAGAATGTGGATTTTCTGTTTTACAGGCAGTCAACCTGATTGGATTCAGACCAAAGCACTGAGGAGGCTTCTCTAGGATATTGTTTCATATCATTTTCATCTTGTGTATATCACACTGTAGCACCCTACCCTGCTTCTGTTCTGTTTCCTAATCTGTGGTATGATGTTTAGAGTCAGACCCATGCTTGCACACATAACTCAGGAATACATAAAGTACTTTTTCACCACTTGGTCAGCTCCTCTCCCTCAACCCTGACCTCTGTACTACAGTTATTGGGATATACCATGGATTATTTTGTAGTCTTATGTTGCCCATCACAGACAGTGGTGTAGTGAGCATGCTTTTACAGGTAGATCCTTGGTGTGTAATTCTTAAAATATTGCTGTAGTATGATGCCTTGAAATTAGTTTACTTACCTGTACTTACCTGATGGCCTTTTCACAGAAGTTAACATTAGATCTGTGTATTTTTTTCTAAATACTCTGCGAAGACTGCAGCTATGCCAACCTGAATGTACCCTATGTTGTCTAAATACCTCTTTTTTTTAATGGGGTGTCAAACTCAGTACCATATGCTCACCAATCAGGAAGTGGCACCACTGGGCCCAACATGCGCTTTTTTATTCTTGAGCACTAGTCCATACATAGTTCACAAAGAAGCAGTGGGAAGAATTCCTTCTTGTGGTAGTTGTGGTAAATTGGTATTGGGTACTTACTGAGAAGATCTCAGTGGAATGTAGACCATTCTTTCCATTACTAGGTGGAATGAAAAAAATCATCTGTTCATGATTCCTTTTTCTTTTTCAGAATTTTGATTCTGACATAAGTAGTGTGGGAATAGATGGCTGCTGGCAGGCAGACAGCCAGCGGCTTCTCAATGAGGTGATGGTGGAGCACTTCTTCCGACAAGGAATGCTGGATGTAGCCGAGGAGCTCTGCCAGGTAACAGGGCGCCGCCTGGGAGGATGTAGAAAACAGAGGGGCCTGGGATGCAGCTCTGTGAGAGGGCGCTTGCTCAGCACGCAACAGGCCTGGCTTCTGTCCCTGTACTACAAAAAGCAAAAACAGACAGTGACAGCACCACCAACAAACAAAAGAAAAAAAGAAGGTTGTTTGGATTATTTACAGAGCAGAATGAATCTTCTACAGGTAGATTTATTTTTTTAGTCCTGGGAATTGAACTCAGGGCCTTATGCTTGCCAGGCAGGCACTGTGCCGCTGAGCTACATCCCCAGCCCCAGATAAATTTTTAATATTTTAATTGTTAGGAATTACTAGGGTTATTTAATTACTAGCAAATCTTTCTGTTTTTATTTTTATTTTCCTTGAGTGATGAAAGTTGTGATCCTAAAGTTACCTGAATTGTTCTTTCTTTGTTCCTGGCCCAGTAAGCTGGTCATGAGTCAAAGGGATCAAAAGTGATATTACTTCCCTCTTTTGAGAAGGAAAGTTCATATAGCAGAGATAAGGAAAGGGACAGAAAACATTAATGTTTGTTCTTCTGATCTAGTGCAGTTTAAAGAAATTTATCAGATGAATTTCAGACTAAAATTTACATCAGGTGAGCGGTGCTTCATTTCCAGTAGCAACAAGCATAGGAGTCTCAAAACAGTTCACCAATATCCTGTAGTCTTAATAGTATTTACTTCAAGCAAAGCTCTGCTTTTATTCCTCACTGCAACCCCATCAAGTAGAAATTATTCCTGATCAACACATGAGAAATCTGAGGTCTGGAGAAGTTTTTAATGAGGGATCTGGCATTCATGTCTCCAAAACTGTTCTATTTTCACCTATTCAAATATGTTATACCTCAAATCTTTCTTTATAACCTGTAGGAATTTTGTTTGTCCATATATATTTTTTTATAGAAAAACAGTAGCAAAGGCCCAGATAGCAGTGGCTTAGATTAAAATGTTTATTTTTCATGCACAGAAGTAGAAGGTAGTTGGAGGCCCACAGCATACATGATAGCTCTTAAGAGATTCACACTCCTTGTACTCTGCTATTTCTGGGAAGGACAGAGTGTGCATATTTATACTTCACTGGCCAAGATTTACATCTTGAAAAGCATTATTCAGTTTTATTTCTCAGTAGCAGGGATGAGGGTGGGCAGTCATCAGTCTCCACCCCCAAAATGTATGTTAAAAAATAAATTGTCTTTGATGGCTTGCCCTATATTTTCTAGTCTAGAGTATGTTTTTACCACTATGCCTTTATTTTGGTTACTTATTGTTAACAAAAGTTCTTTCTTCTTTTTCAGGAATCTGGTCTTTCTGTAGACCCAAGTCAGAAGGAACCATTTGTGGAGTTAAATCGAATATTAGAAGCATTGAAAGTCAGAGTTCTGAGACCTGCTCTGGAGTGAGTTTTTCTGTTGGCTAATTTGCAAGAACTCTCTATAAGAAAGAAAGGTTACTTAAAAAACACATTAGAAATTCTTAGGTATATTTATCTTACCTGGGGCAGTCTTTAGAGAAATCAAAGGAGAATTTTCTTTTATCCAAGTGAAATATGGGAAAGTGCAATATGAGAAAGTGGTACAGCTTACTTATCAGTTGGTCTCAGTTCCCACGAGAGAAAAGGGGTTCCACCACCCCTGCTGTCCCACTGTTTTCTGTGCACTCAAGTTGTAACTGAGGCATTGTTGTTCAGGTGGGCCTCATCTGATATTCGAGCTCCCCAAATGTGCTAGCATTCTAAGGCAGGATGGAGTGGGAATTTGAACTAAGTGGTAAGCATGAAGATTGCACACACTGTACACACGTACTCTGTTCTTCATTACTGTAGATTTTGATGATTCACTCTGAACTCACTGAGACAAATTATATGAAATTACTGAGTGGACTATAACAAGTACTATCCTAGACATTGTCAGCAGACGTTTTCATAAAGGGCCAATTAATAAGTTTTACTTTTTGTAGGTCACATATGGTCTCCCTCCCATATTCTTGTTTGTTTTGTTGTAACCCTTTAAAAATGTAAAAAGTTGTTTTTTGTGACCTATCATTTAGAACAGGCCGCAAGCTATATTTGGCCTGTGCCATAGTTAGCTGACTCCTAGAATATTTCATTGTGAAGGTTACCAGGATATTTATAATAAATAGCTCATAAAATAAAGCAATATGACAGAAGCAGTATGTGAGGATCTAATGTAGAGTCCTGGTATTTTAAAATGGAAAAACTGCCTGGTGTGATGGTGCATGCTAATCCTAGCACTTGGAGACTGAGGCAGGAGGATCACTTTGAGTTTGAGGCCAACCTGAGCTACGTAGTGAGTTCAAGTCCAATTTGAACTACTTAGTGAGACCCTGTCTCAAAAAAAGGAAAAATTCAGCCGGGTGTGGCAGAACACACCTGCAATCCCAGCACTTGGGAAGTTTGCAATCATCCAGGATCTGATTTTCAGCATTGTAAACTTGGGAATCCATGTGTGTGCGTACGTGTGTGTTGTTTAATACTAAGATCAGGTCAGTTAACAAAAACTGGAATTATTTATGTGCACAGTTTGGATTGCCAGTGGCTCTAAAACTAGCTCATGCTAGGCACATCCCTGTGGAAGGCATAGTCTAATATGAACTTGCCAACCATGGAAATGTAGCAAGAGGAGATTGTTCTAGAAAATTTTACTGTTTTCCACCAAAAATATCCTGATGCCATTATCTCCACCATGGAGTTTAAACTGTTAGTTCAGAGTTCATTAGTTGACTTGTCTCTTGTCTTCATTGCCTCGGTCTGTCTGTCTGTCTGTCTGCCTTTCTTTATCTTTTTCCATTACTAGCCATCCTCCTTTTTTAAAAGTTTATTTACATTGTTAAAACATTGCTTGATACGAAGCTCCATGTTTGAAAGTGTTTTTTTGTTTGTTTGTTTGTTTTGAGACAGGGTTTTCCTATGTAGTTCAGGCTGAACTTGAACTCACTATGTATCCCAGGTTGGCCTGGAACTCACAGTGATCCTCCTGCCTCAGCCTCCTAAGTCATGGGATTACAGCCGTGCACCACCACTCCTGGTATTGTTTGAATTTTGAGCCAGCATTACTTATCCTAATATATGAGCTAGGCACAAAATCAAAAGGTACAACAGAAACAAAGTGCAGTTGCTTCTCAGTCACCTAATATCTTAGCTCACAGGTGGTTTCCATTAGTCTTTCTCTTGTGCATCCTTTCAGAGATACTCCATACACGTACAAGTTTATATGTATTATTTATGTATACGTTTTTATTTACAGCTGGTTGCATACCTCACACTATCATCTTGCTTTTTCCACTTGAAATTTTGGAAAGTACCTGCTGTATAGAGCTATCTCATTTTTTGTGGTGGCTTTTGTGTGGCTTGTTGTGGTGCTTAGTGTTCTGCTGTAGGATTTATACCTTAACTCTATTTAACCTGCCCCTAATGGTAAATGATTAGTTGTTCTAGGCTTCTACTTTGTAAGCAGTACAACAGTGAATAGTGGTTGTACTTTATTTTGAGCATACCCAGCTGTATCTTGAGGGTGCGTTCTGAGAATGTTGGGACAAGGTGCATTTTAAAATTGAATTGAGTTTGCAAAATTTTTCCCTATAAAAGCTTCTCCAAAATACGTTACTACCACAACAGCAAGGGTTTTTTTCCCATCTGTGTTACCACAGTTGATTCTCTACCTCCTTCCTTTCCCCCTCTTTCTTCTATTCCCGTGTCTCTTCATAATCTTTGTACGTTTGTAGTGGAGGAAGAACAGCATGTTTTATTTTCCATTTGCATTTATCTTATGAGTGAAGTTAGGGTACATTTTCTCTAAGTAGGATCACAGCTTCATTCTGGCCAAGGTCTAGGTCTCTAGGCCTCTGGCTTGGGTGAGTAGTCTTTTCATGCCAGGGGCTGTCTTCAGGCAGAGGGATTACTACTGAGATACTGCAGATTTGATCCCAAGGGCCTGTGTGAACATTTCACCATGGCCTCTGGGCACTCGCAGTACTCTTTCAAACAGCTTACAGATAGTTGTATTTGCAAACACCTCAATGGAAAGCCATATGGAACAGAAAATTTCTGAATGGTTGTGAAAAAGGAGCGGGGAAGGTTACTTAGAAAAAATGAAACTATCAGAGGTATTCAGATGGAACAAGCCATAAACACTATCCTGGAGGCTGCTGAAATTTGGTGTGGAGTCCATCTTTGAGGCGAGAAGTTAGGTGAGGATAGAAAAGCCAGAGAGGCAGCAGAGGCTGTCTTTGCAGTTCGGTGGAGCATATGACCAGTGGTCCCAGGATGAGAAAATGCTTGCAAGACTTCAGAAAGATTGTAGTTCCAGTTCAGTGAAGAAAACAGTTTGTAAGTGGGGAATAGTTCTAGAAAATGAAAGCAGAGGAAGCAGTCAGAAGTACCTGCTCCTGTAGCCTTCCCTTTCGCGGAGAGGAGGGCGACAGTGATCAAGCAGTTTCTGGTGTCTGCTCTCTTGTTCCTAGAGGTGGCTTCTTGTAGGTGGGCATTTTTCACTAGCCACAAAAGCCTTAAGGAACCAAGGCTGTGATGTGAGAGAAGTGGAGAAGGGCAGTCACAGCTTAACATGTTGTAGTTTACTTCCCTAGAGTTCAGTTGTCTTCCTCCATCTCCAGTTCATTGGTCTTAATTCTGAAAAGGCAGGAGAGCTGATCTGTCTGTCACTTAGTCTGATGGAGAAAGGTACCTTTATTAAAGAGAAGCTGGGCCCGGGATTTAGCTCAGTGGTCCAGAGTTGGATCTCTGCTTTACCCTCCTGCCCCCCCCCCAAAAGAGAAACACTAATTGTAATTGCAAATGTAAAGAAGCGCCCAGTGGGAATGATACAGGAGAGAGGGGAACACATGGACTAGAGAGGCCAGAAGAGGAGACACATTTTGAATGGCACAGTTTTCTGTTCTGTTTATATTTTTACATTAACTGCTGGTGAAAGTTTATAGAAAGTTTCAGCACTGTAGATATTCCTCGGGAGAAAGAATAGACATTTTCTGAATATTATCTTTACCAAGGACATCAGCTATGTTGTAACTAGGTAGGCAGACCATTACTAGAGAAATTGAGGATCAGAGAAAAGTGTAAATTTCCCTGAAGTGTTTAAAAGCGTATGGCGCTATACCTGTATATGGAGATTACTATTATTTATTAGACTTCTAAAAACCCCTTATAAGTCTTAAGTATTGAAAAACATAACCAGTCTGTACAGCTGTGCAGTATGGTAACCAATTACCATGAGTAAGCTATTAGCCACTGTTACTAGTCCCTGCATTGCTGAGAGCCTCATGTAACATGGGTGTGGGTGTGTGTAAATAGATTAAACAATGTAATACCCTAGTTTGTATGGTTTTCTTAAAGAAGGCAGAATTTGGTGGCACACGTCTGTAATCCCAGAACTCGGGAGGCTGAGGCAGGAGAATCACTGAGAATTGGAGGTCAGCCTGGGCTACATAGTGCATGAGACCAGTCTGAACTGCATAGTGAAACCCTGTCTCAAACCAGCATACCAGCAAACAGCATCATAAGAAAGACAGAGACTCAGCTACTCTGAGATGAGTAAAATGTTAGTTCCAGTGGTAGACTCAACCCATGTCTGAGAAGTTACTGTTTAGAAATACAAAGGGAGGGCAGGGACAAGGGGAAAAAATGAGAACCAAGACTTGTTATGTAGAGGTACAAGATCCCAACAATGAATGTAACTGTACTGTATCCCTAAAATGTACCAATAAACTCAATTAAAGCTGAAAAAAAAAAAAAGGAATACATTGGCCATGAAATATTAGATACCCCTTTCCATTTCTAAGGCAGTTACAGGGTTCTTAATGTTTTTGGCTGCAGTGTGATACTGTGATTTTTTTTTCCTGTTCTGTGAAGTTTTTAGGCATTTGATTCACATAACTGTAATGTCCCACCAACTCTGCATTTGTAGTGTTAAGCCATTCCCTTGCATCAGCTTTTATCCCTAATAGACTGAAAAAAGGGAGCTTAGAAAATGTCTTACTAAAGGCTAGAAAGGAAAGGTATTTATTTTTAATAAATGTTATTTTATCATTTCCACCTCACCCAAGCCCAAGGGAAGATATTTATAAGCCTTTAAAATTGCTGTGAATGAGCTGGGTGTGGTGGCACATGCCTGTAATCCCCCACCTACTCAGGAGGCTGAGACAAAAGGATTTCAAGTTCAAGACTATCTTGCTCAATTTAGTGAGAGCCTGTCTCAAAAGGGATAGGGATATAGCTCAGCAGCTCTTGTGTTCAGTCCATAGTACTGGGGGGAAAAAAACTTCTGTGAAAGGTTGTAGTTGAGTGTGCTGTGAGACTTGGCAAGATGTATTTTCTTTGAGTATTACCAGAAATAAGACACCCACCCAGACCAGCAGAATTGTAAGAGGAGAGAGATAAACAGACTAATGCTGACACTTAGGCTCAGAAAACAGCGAACAGTGAAAGTGAAATCTTGGTTTCATTATTTTTGGAATGATATGAAGATTCTAAATATGGAGCTACCTGAATGCCAAGTCTTTTCAGCAGCCTGACAGAATAATTAATGCTAATGTTTCTGTTGGATAATTGTGTCAGTGTGGGTTGCTTCTAACTTAGTCACTTAAGTAAGTAGTGTTGTTTTAGGGTCTGTCTGTGGAAGAGGCTCAAAAGGTCCTTCATTTAAGAGAAAGTGGTGACAGTGACCAGAGGAACATGACATTGGTGACCTTACTGAATGTCATTCTTTTTAGTTCTCAGTGTTTTTTTATGTAGGGTGTAGTCGCCCTCTCTTATGATGGTGTTTTGAAGTGGAATTTTAGAACATCAGCAGAGTTAATAAGTGAATGTTTAATGTGCTTACTGGTATAGTGGTGGTATTTTTGTAATTAAAAGTCAGAAGTCTTCTTGTGGAAACACCATTATCCAGAATGTGGTACTCTGTTCCCCAATACCTCATCGTCTAGTTGTTTGGCTTGCATGTTTTTTACTGCTTATGTAGGCAGTCAATTAAGATGTTAATGCCCACTTACAGTTTTGTGCTTCTGTAAATTCAAACTGATAATGTGAATTACAGGATTATTTCTGTATGAATTATTTCTGTAATTTCAAACTGGTGTTGTGCTGGGTAGTCTTTGAATTTGGGTGTTATCAGGTTAAGATTGCAATTGTCTTTTCCGTGTTCCTGCTTAGTTCATAGCCTTAATCCTTAGTTCACACCCTTAATCCAAGTGCTCTCAGGCCTACCAGTGTACCCTGAATCTTTCACACACTCTAGATTCAGCCACTTTCAAAATTGCCCCACCTCATTGACATGAGGCTTTTGAGAGACATCTAAACACTCTCCATAATATCATTCATTCATTCATTAAATATACATTGAGTTGCTTATAATTAAATGTCTTCTCTATATTCAAATTTATAAAAGTGCGTAATTAAAAAAGGGATCTGTCAACAAGTGAAACAGGATGTAATTAAAAAGATATGAGAACAGCGACAGCAAAATGAAGCTAGGAAAAGACCTCAGTACAAATCTTGTGACCATGAAAACCCAGATGAAGTTGTTGTATTCTATTTTCATTCAAATTACTTTGAGCAGAATGCTACTGGTGGTTTAAATCATTTGCTTCTACTTTAGAGATCGTTTTTTTAAAAATAAGAAAGAAATCCCAGTTTAGCTAATGTTCAGGCCAAAGTGTTGGGGTGAGTTGCCTCCATTGAAAGAAGACAGTACTGTAAATACAAAGATTGAAGGAGAGAACTTTATTGCCAGTGGGAGATGTTTCACAGGCTCTGAAGCTGTTGTGGATTAACTGATGTTAAGCTTCCTGGAAGCTGCTGGTTGAGGTGAGAGGCTGCCAGGGTCGAATGGTCAGTCAGGGTAGGTATTACAAGCATCAAAGAAGGCAACCTGCTGAGAATTGATAAAGACAGATGTGAAGTGGAGATAACAGATCCATGAACTTATTAAAAGCCAACACAGAGTGCTTATCTGCCTAGTTAACTAACCAAGGAATTAGGGTTAAGAAATACAAGTGCAGGTTCATGGGTACAGTCCTGGGGAGGTGATGGGGCATCCTAACAAACAAGAGTTTAGCCTCAGATATTTAAATGTGTACGGGGAGGATGTAGAAGTGGGGTGTATCATCCTTAGGTTAGAAAATGATATTTTTCCAGGAAGGGAGACACTTAGAAATCTTTTTGCCTTGTGAGATTTTGTTTTCAGGTATTCAGAAGTTAAAGTTGTTTCAGAACAGAATGAGAAGAAACGTGACCTTAGGGAATGTGAGTGTCTGAGTGTCAAGTATACAGTTCAGTGGTCCAGTTGGCATGTTCGAGGTCCTGAGTTTGATCCCTACCACTTCCCCCCAAAAAACTTGTCTCCATGAATTTGGATATTTGTGATGTCCCCCTCTTTCCGAGTTTCTTTTTTGTTGTTTTGTTTTTTTAATATATGTGCTGCCGAAGCGATCACTTGTTTTGATTTGAGATAGGGTTTCACTGTGTAGTTCAGGCTGGCCTTGAACTCACTAAGGTAGCCTAAGCTGACCTCATACTCAGGTGACTTCCTACCTCAGCCTCCTGAGTCCTGGGATTACAGGTGTGCACCACCATGACCAGCTCTCCCAGTTCCTTTTGTATGGTTATCTATTTCTTTCTCTAAACATTTCTTGGTGAGGAACAGGGAGGAATTAATACTGTTTTTTCTGATTATTTTGTAGCCTTATAGGAAACTGAGAATTTGTAAAAATAAATTCAAGTAGTAAATTAAGAATTGCATTGTCTAAACAAATGTTTGTTCAAACTTTAAATGAAATACAAATATTTAACTAGACTCAAATTCATAATTTATACCTTGAGTTATTTTAAGGAAAAGTAATTAGTAATTACTCAGACCATTCATAAAAAAGGAAGCTAGAAAATTTATTCATTAGCATAATGAGTTTTACCTCGTAAAATATAAATACTATGTTCATTGTGGAAAACATAGACCAGCCTACTTTAGAAATGGCTGCGCTGTGGGCTGCAGTTTAGCTGTTGTTTTTTGAGGCATTTTGTTAGTGGGTTAGCCTCACACACCCCTTTGGTGGCCTTACAGCCAAGCCCATACTGTAGCAAATCATAATACTTGAAATCCACGTTTCTCAGAGTAATTATTCCTAGAAAGTCCGGAAGGTAAAAGTTTGTTCTGCATTTCATATTTATCTCCCCTTTTAAACCATATTGTGAACATTCTCCTGTGGAAATAAGATATTATTTTCTTTTTTTGTGTGAAGTACCTAATGAGCTTTGCCCCCTTTTATTGGCTTTAATTTTTATTAAAATTTGTAGTTACTTTATTTAATTCCCTTGTGTGAGGTTACAGACTCTTGCATATATACTTCATCTCCAGAAACATGAAAAAAATTATATTCCCTCCTTATGTATTAGCAGGAAATTATGCTTATTCTTTTATGAGTTGAGGGCGTAGGGTAGACTTCCATAAGTAACCAGATTTAAACACTTTCCTTGGAACCAGGAGCCCAGAAGAGGCCTCACAGAGCAGAACATTGTAGCACCAGGCAAGGATCCTTGACTTAATTAAATTCAAATAAATATTTCCAAGACCCAGATTACTAAATCACTATTTGAGTGTAAGTCATGGATGCATCAGCAGGTGGAAAAGATATTTGTATGCACGTGCAGCCCTTTTTGGGAAAGGTGGGATCCAGAAAAGGGGCAGCTTTGTGAAGACCAGTCTGCTTCATTATGGAAATCTTGAAACATTTCATTCTTGTAGTTTGTGGAGTTGCTCAAAATTTACATTCATACCAGTAGATTCCAATGATCCTTGGTGAATTGGGCTACCTGGGGAACATTTGTCCAGGAAAGGGTCAAATTAAAATGTGTGATGCTAATAGCGTCTGTATTTGAACATTTTAGAGAAATAAAATAATGCTTCTTTATTACAGAATTTGATTTTGACAGCTAGTTGGGATATTTTTCTGCTTTACTGCTCCCCTAACCTGGTAGTCTCAACTCAGGATGGGTTATTCTAACCATAGGTGCTGTTGAGGCCTAAGTCACTTTACTTTGGATCATTCAGAATTGAGTAATGCTATTTCCCTTGCTAACACTACCCACAAATCTTTTTGTCCAGGAGAGATGCTATGTTTGTGTAGTTTTACCTTCTTGCTAAGACTGAAAGCACCTTCAGTGGAAGCAACATTTTTAATCTCAGAGTGATTAGTATAAAATCTTTTCGGCTAATGAAAGTTTAAAAACAAGTGATTCCTTGCCAGAATCATTGATTCATTTTTATAAACAAACCAGTTCATTTATTTAAATGGAACCCAGGGCTTTGTGCGAGCTATGCAAGCACTGTACCACTGAGCTACCCTCCCAGCCCAAAAGGTCCCTGATAGGAAGAGTGACACATTGTCATCACTGTTGATGTAAAACCGTACTAAAGAAGTGATTATCACCTGGACCCTGTAGGTGGAGTTGGTTAAGTTTGCTTTCTTTACAGAGGCCTTGATGTAACTGCAGCCTTCCACAAGATGGCAGGCCAAACCCTTTTTTTGTTACTATATTTCAAACAATTTTAGATGCACTTTACTTGTGTTCTTTTATTTGGTACTGGGGATTGAACTCCGGACCTTGCTCTTGCAAGGCAGGCAGTGGAACCACTGAGCTAAATCCCTGGCCCTTGTATTCTTGATTATTATAAAATCTTCCTTTTTTTTTCAGATGGGCAGTATCAAACCGAGAAATGCTTATAGCACAAAACAGCTCCTTGGAATTTAAGCTACACCGACTCTATTTTATTAGCTTGTTAATGGGTGGAACTACGAATCAGCGAGAGGCATTGCAATATGCTAAAAATTTCCAGCCATTTGCCCTAAATCATCAAAAAGGTGAGTCTAGAGTCAGATGTCATAGTGCTTGGAACAGGCTACTGCCACCAATGAAGTATATCTTAACTACATCTAATGTCCATATTTGCTAATAAACTATAAAACAACGTGGATAACAATCACATTCAAAAGACTTGTTTGTTCGTTTTTTTGGTTTTTTGAGACAGGGTCTCACTATGTAATTGAGACTGACCTGGAACTCACTATGTAGCTCAGGCTGGTCTCAAACCCACAGTGATCCTCCTGCCTCAGCCTCCCAAGTGCTGGGATTACAGCCATGCACCACCACGCCCGGCTATATCTAAAAGAGTTGTGACTGGTGTAAAACAATAATAAAACACTAAACCCTCTGAAATGAAAAGCTTGAAAGAGACATTGCTGATTTGAGGGGGTTCCCTGTTAAACTCAGAGGAGACTGAGGAAAGAATGCTAGGAATAAGAGTAGGACACTTACAGGTGTGGTGGTGCACACCTTAATCCCAGCACGCAAGAGGCTGAGGCAGGAGGAATGCTGTGAGTTTGAGGTTAGCTTGGCCTACATAGTTCATGACCATCCTCAACTACGTAGTGAGACCCTGTCTCAAAAAAACAAAACAAAAAAAAAAGAGTAGAACACAGGAAGTTCAGTGCCCCACCCCCCCTTAAGACAGGGCTTTGCTATGTATTTCAGGCTGGCCTTGAACTCACTTTGTAGCCTCAGCTGGTTTCAAACTCAAGGATCACTTGTCTCAGCCTCCTGCATGCTGGGATTACAGTATGCAGCACCACACCCGAGTTGGAAGTTCAGTATTTTCAATGCTTCCTACTGCTTCCATACTTTGTCCTTTTCCTCCATACTTTGTCTTTAATTTAAGGTGAGGGAATTCTGAAACCAGGCTAATGGGCCAGAATATTTACATTATTTTAGCCTCTGTCAATTAACGGGGGCTGTTCTTGCCTTTCTCAGCCTGTTTCCTCTTGTAAACTCTTTCGGGTATAATTATCCATACCTCCAAATTGCTGCTTCCTTTTCATTAAGACATCCAGGTACTGATGGGAAGCCTTGTGTACCTGAGGCAAGGGATCGAGAACTCGCCATATGTTCATCTGCTTGACGCAAATCAGTGGGCTGACATCTGTGACATCTTCACTCGGGATGCCTGTGCCCTCCTGGGGCTCTCTGTGGAGTCCCCTCTCAGCGTCAGGTATGGAAACAAGTGCTGTCTGTTACTGAAACATGGCTGCATTGGGAATCTCCTCTTCATCTGTCTTGGTTTGTCTACTGGTCACAGTTGGTATTTTGAGACATTGGCAGTTGGAGGTGACACAGCTTTAGTGCTTTAGTTGCCAAAGCATGAGAGCCTTTCACATGGTGCTGATGTTGGCATAGATGGTGCCATGACCATGGACTACATGCTGGAGCCATGGTGCAAGCTGTTGCAGTGATGTCAGCCTCCACGTACACTTGCTCTCTTCCTCACCGCCAAATATTTGCAGTCTTAAAAAATGCCAGTTGGACTTCAGAGTGTTCCTTTCTTTTTTTTGGCAGTACTGGGGATCGACCTCGGGACTTTGCACTTGCCAGATAGGCACAGTGCCACTGAGCCACATCCCCAGTCCCACAGTGCTCTTGTGAAGCATTATTAATTTTAGTAAGTTCTGACCTTTGAGTTCAGTAATACTCCATGAGAGGAAATTTGAATAGAGCACTTTGGCTTTATGTGGTCATGGTGATGGCCTTGAGGAAAAGCACACCTGAATGTTGTTTGAGTTACATGAACCAAACTAGTTACTCTCTTCCTGGAATATGGTTTATACTTGAGAGAATCACTAACAGACCAGATCAGTTATTCATGTTCAAGTTTTTGACATTTTTCTAAATGAAGTAAGCCCAATCAAAGAAAACAACTGCCATTATCTTGCTGTGATGATTAAATTCAAGACTTTAAGCTAAAATTTAAACTTTTGAAAGCTCATACATTTGATTGTGAGCTTGTCACTTCCCTTTACATAAAAACTTTCTTGACGAGATTGGTGATGATATCAACAAATTTTATTTTATGGATATTGTATTATGGAACGAAACATTTGGAAGCTCTTAATTCAGTAGGGTTTTACAAAAGAATGCATGAGTAGATTTATTCGAAGTATGAATCAAACCAGTGGATTTTAATGTAGCAGGGCACACAGAATTCAGTGGTAGAGTTTAAGTTTCTGCTTTGCAGTTAACCTTTAGGAAACTGCTAAAGGGATTAGTGTGGCATTAAGATAATATCTACAGTTCTGTGGAAAAACAATTAAAATACTATGTATCTGTATGAGGAAGTACTTTTTTCTTTTACTTTAGCCAAAAGAACCATGTTACAACAGAGGATGCAGAGGAGGCTGTAAGAACCCAGCCGTTTTTATTAATAAACTAGGCATAGAGACTTGTAAAAATGTAAGTGGTGCGACTCTACTTAAAAAAGTATTTTCATTTTGAAAAATTTTTTTTTAAATGTTATTTATGATGGTGTAGTTTTTTTTGTTGTTGTTGTTTTAGTTTGTTTTAAAGGGGGAAAGGTTTATTTAGCTCACGTTTTATAGAAGTTTCAGTCCATAATCAGCTGGCTCTAAGGCATAGCAGAGGAGAATAACATAGCACAAAGTAGCAAAAGCAACAAGGGGTATGATGTATAGTGTTTTAATTTTTAAGTGAATTAGTGCCTTTTCTGATACTGTACATTTCTAATATGAAAACTCTTTGAGATCCTTAATATTTAAGCATATATAAGGATCCTGAAGCAAACTGCTTAGGAATCTGTTCTTAGAAAGTAACTGTTTTAGCTCTTCTTTTCATTTAATCCCACAGGCATTCTGAATCCCTGGTATGTACCAGGCTCTGTGTGGAGTGCAGGGCCGAGTGAGGTGCAATCCACGTCCCCCACAGTGTCCACCCTAGTGTGGGACACACCCTCACACATGTATAAGGTGTAGTGGTGTTAAGCCATCAGGTTCTCTGGGGAACAACAGTGAAATGGGGATGTGTATGTGGGAGCCTGCTGGGATCAGCTCCAGTAGGCGGAATGAAAGCAGAAGGTTGGACAGAGAGAAAAATTGGGATGTGATTGCCTCTGCCCACCCCTGAGGAGCTGTGATGGCCTGAAGGGGAAGTCACTGGGTGTGACTGATGAAGGGGCTCTCTTCTGCTGGGGACAGTCCTGAAGAGGGACACTTCCAGATCTGAGGAATGGGTGCTTTTCCCTGGAAAGGGATGATCCAGGTCTTGGAAGAATTATACAAGAAAATATTATTAATGACTGATAAGCAGAGCCCCATAATTTTGGTCATTATAAAATATGAAAACTTTTTGTCATTAATGTTATGTTTTTATAAAATCCTTTAAAAGCTACTCAATTTTCTGTATTACTTTTGTTTGGTGTGTAAACAAACACCAGTCTGCAGGCCACATTTCGAGTACTATTGGTCTAATAAATGTGTGTGTAGGAGCACATTTTGTAAGAAAAGTAGATTGAAGTATATGATCTGTGTAGGTGTGTGTTTTATAAAGGACAGGGGCAGAATAGGAAAAGGCGTTATGTTTTATGAGTTATCAAGTGAAGAATTGTATACAAGTGAGTCTTTTCCTTTTAGACTTGATGCTGAAATGCTGAAACCACATTTGGAGGAGTGGTAGCTCTTAATCCTATTGCTTCACACCTCCCCCCGTTTGAAGCAACAAGTTATCCCCACTCCCACTCTCCCCTCCCTCTCTTCCTCTTCCTCTTCCTCTTCCTCCTCTTAGTGATGGATCCTCCCTTTCAGCACTGGTTGCCAAGGCTACTTCCTTTTCTTTTAGAACTGTTTGTTTGCCAGTCGTTCCACCAGAAAATTATAGTTTTAAAGCGTTTTTAAAATTTTTTTTAAAACATCATTTCTTCCATATTGGTGAGTTTTATTTAGTAATCTTAAGAGTTTTGATTCTAAGCAAGGATTTTCTTTTTCAGGAGCTTCATAAAATATACCAGTGGATCTGGGGGAAGGGAAAACTTGTTATTTTTCCTCTGTCCTGGAAGTGGCCAGGTTACTTTTAGCGGAGCTGAAGGTTCTGTGCCCCCCTGTCCAGGGGCTAGGGCTCTAGAATACGATGTCTGGGGACCAAGAGGCCCAACACTTGGCTGGCACTGATGCTTCCTCTTCTCCTTTCCCAGTTTCTCAGCAGGTTGTGTGGCGCTGCCAGCTTTAATTAACATAAAAGCTGTCATTGAACAGAGACAGTGCACTGGAGTTTGGAACCAAAAAGACGAATTGCCCGTGAGTTCATTTTCTGTTGACTGTTTACTTTTCCAGCCATTAGATGAAACTGTGTTTGAAGGGTTCTTAATGTCCATCTTTTCATTTGGCTGTTCTTTTTTTTAATATGTATGTATGCATGGATTAAAAATAGAGATGAGGGGTAGGGATGTAGTTCAGTGATAGAGACAATGCTATATTATAAGGCCTGGGTTCCATCCCCAGCAGCATCCCCATACTCCCCACCCCAACTGCCCAAATAAAAGAGCCGAAAAGCCTAGTACATTTTAGATGCACTGGAAGAATATTCTTGATTTTTTTACTTAAAGTAGCAATGAAAGCCAATGAAGAAAAACATCAGAAGTGGGGAGTGTCCATATATACTGTAGCATGTATTGTGTTCTGGGAAACAGTTCATACTCATAGTGTTGTTTTCTTATAAGGCATGTAGTATGTCAGTTTAACTGCATTTAATTTTGTCTGAAGTATTGGCATTGACACAGTCATGTGTTTGTGTTGATACTTTTCTCATAACAAGAATACGTGCATAACTTTTAAAAGTCATCCCTGTTGTGACCTCTAGTGCTGTGTGTCCACTGCTGTCGTTGAAAGTGCCACAGTTTTAAGCATTAGCCCCAACTACCCCGCTAAGCAGTTTTATGTCTGAAATGAGGGCCATTGTGCACACTGTAGTTACTCCATTACGGCTGCCAGGGTGCAGTTAGGATGTGGAGTGAGTGCAAGGGTGTGCAGATCGCAAAGTGTATGTGTGCCGCTCTAGAGTTGTCATTCCTTTCATGATCCAGGCCCTTGAAAAGGCTGGCGTATGCTTTTGGGGTTTTCTTCTTATCAGCCACACCTGTTCACAGGTTTTTCTGCAGTTACTGTGCCCTTCCAGCTGTCAAACTTACCAGTTGGCTGCCCCACCTTCTCCTCGAAGATCTTTGTGGTTAAGGGCACAGGTGCCTTCCCAGTCCTGAGTGTGGTCAGGACACAAGCAGCACCCTGTGCTGGTGCAGTTAATTTGACCAAGGGAAAAGAACTCAAGCTCTCACAGGCTTCCTGAGGCTGGGGCCTGGCACCTGGCAGTGCCCAGTTATGCTGTGTGCAGCACTAGAACAGAAGAGCCTGAAATGCAGATTCACCAGAAGTCTGTTTGTCAGCATCGGTCTGTTTGTTAGATTTTTGTCAACTTTCCTGAAAGAGCCTTGGTGATGGACTTTTATACCCCTTGCCATTTTAGACTTAGAAGGAACTCTGGTGTTTTTGGAGCCTCTGTCATGTGCCAGCTACCCTGCTAGGTGATTGCATGGCTTCTTTATGACTTGTTTCCTTTGCAGCAAAGAGAAACAGTGGATACAAGTACCATGGATGTTGATGTGTAGATTGTAGAAGGCCCTGCTGAAACTTGTTTTACTGCCTTATTTCAGGTGGTTTCTCTGGACTTTTACACTCAGACATGGGAATCTCAGATCTGAAGCTCACACAGAAGTAAACCACATTTAGGAGTTGCTTATTGCACTGAATTTTATCACCTGGCTAAGTGTGCTGTACTCTTGATGGCAGTATGGGCATAGCCATGTTTATGGCAGCACAGTTCACAAAGGCTAAGCTCTGGAAACAGCCTAGATGCTGCATGCCTAGCCCTAGAAAACAAAGTTAAGGGAAATAAATTTAGATGCAGAAAGTTATATATTGCATAATTTTTCTTATATGAGAATTAAGGAATTAGGTCAGGTTAAAGGTAAGGGGGTCAAAGATAAGATACTATCATTTACCAGTTCCCCAAAACAAACCTGTTATGTTCATTTAAAACAACAAAGCAGTTTCTAGAGGTTTTGTTCCTGAGTAGATCATAAGGAATTCTCAAGAGTGTTTAGTCTGGGCATGTGTCTGGAGGTTTTCTGAAATATAACTAAATCCTTTTTATTCTGTTTTTCTTTTTGAGCAGATTGAAGTTGACCTTGGTAAAAAGTGCTGGTATCATTCTATATTTGCCTGTCCCATCCTTCGTCAGCAGACAACAGATAACAACCCACCCATGAAATTGGTCTGTGGCCATATAATATCAAGGGATGCCCTAAATAAAATGTTCAATGGTAGCAAGTAAGTGTCAGATTTTTTAAACATTAATGAGTAAATCTTTTTTTTTTTTTTTTTTGAGACAGGGTCTCACTATGTAGTTGAGACTGACCTGGAGCTCACTATGTAGCCCAGGCTGGTCTCGAACTTACAGCGATCCTCCTGCCTCAGCCTCCCAAGTGCTGGGATTACAGGCTTGCACCACCACACCTGGCTATGAGTGAATCTTTTGGAACTTGGTGGGAGAACAAGAAATAATGATAAATGGATGTGGATAGATTTCTTAACTATTTTGCAAAGTGAGTGGTATCTGATCTTTTGTCAACAAATACTGCTTAATTTGTTCATGGAGTAGATCTTTAAGTATTATCTGCAGCTCTTAACTTTTGGGGTGAGTGATGAATCTTCTCCCTCTTTATTGATAGTGTCCTGGATATTGTTCTGTACTTAGCATTTTTCACTTACAGTTTGTCTTGGGGAGATCTTTACATGCTGTAGAAAGAGGCCTCTGTTTTGTGTGAGTAGAGTACTTCACCACATGAAAATGTACTTACTTATGTAGTTTTTGTTTTTCCAAGACAGGGTCTTACTCAGTATCTCAGGCGGGCTTTGAAGTCACTTTGTTAGCCCCAGGCTGGCCCCTTTTGCTGTGACCCTCTTGCCTCGGCCTACCAAGTGCTGGGGGTACAGGTGTCCGCCACCATGCCCAGCCTAAGCTCAGCTTTTCAAAAAAACTGTTTCAGAAGCCTGTTTTTTTTTTATCTTGGGCAGCTGTTTGTGTCCTTCCTAGACTGAGCAGCCCTGGTTCTCTAGAAGCCAGATAGAGCATCAGGCTTAGTTCAGATACTGGCTAGTTATGCTACAAATGAGACACACAGGCATTCTTTGTGTGGCATCAGTGCCTGGCATCTGATTTGCTGCCCTGTGTGGATTGTATAGCCCACATGTTTGAAATTCATTCAGAGACAGGTGCACTTTAAACTTTAGAGAAGAGAAATTGGATCAGAAGCAATTTTCAGAAAAGCTGTCTTTGTTCACAAAACAGTTTCATTGATCTACACAGGAGGAGCGTGTTTGTGAATCTTCAAAGCTTAGCAGTTACATTAAAGGAAAGCGTGGTTAATCCTTCAAGCAAAATGCCAACACATATGCTGTGCATGTAATTGTTAAAGCTATTCTATGACTAAATGAAAATTGAATACTCAGTTCCTTGATTCATTTATTTTTCTGTCTTGTTTTTAGATTAAAATGTCCATATTGTCCAATGGAACAAAGTCCAGGAGATGCCAAACAGATATTTTTCTGAACAAATGAATTTACTTTGTGATTTGTAAGTGAAACTGAATTGTGGGTACATTTCAGAAGAGAGCGTTGCATTGAATGCAGCTAACCAAGGACTCCCGTGTTTGTATAAGCTGATGCTCCAGGAACTCTGCCAGTACGCTAGTGTGCACACTGAGGGAAATGCCCCAGATGAGTGTTACCACAGGGCTTTATTATATACTCTTGGTCTTCATTTTTGATCAAGTAAATACACCAGCAGTTGTCATTCAGTGAAGGTTTTTGTACTTAATTATATGGTGGTTTTTTTACTTAAGAGCAGAAACAGAAACTGACCTTCCCTCCATGTGTTTTAATACTCCTGCTTTTACTTTTGTCATTTTCTTGGTAATTGTAAGCCTTGAGAGCATTTGTGCAAAGCTTTCTTTCCTGCTATTTACTTGTAATTAACTGAAAAATTCTTCAGAGACAGTTTGAACAAATTGAATTGTGGTTGTAAAGCTCATTTGCATTTCTTGTTTTGTTTAAGAAAGAAAGCTGTGATAGATTCCAAATTTGGTTTTTGATAATTTTCCTCTGCTCTAGCTCTCACTGAGAAGTCAGCACACCTGCATTTGAGCTCTGCTTGTGGCCCCAGAGGGCTGCCTGTTTAAAATTCTGTAATGAATTTAGCAGGCTGGTGTGAGAGGTCTTCTGCTAGAATTGAGTGGAAGGGGTATTACTGGGTTTTTTGCTTTTATTACCAAGAGGTGCTTGTTTTAAGTGTGTTCAATAAAATGAAATTCTGAAGTTAGAAATGTTCTTAAGTTGATGTATGCTCTCTTGGTCTTGGTAGCCCTATCCTTTGAAATCTGCCTTCAGGACCTGGCTGGCTGTCACGTGTGTATCATCGCAGACACAGTGTTGTGCATGTGTATGTATAGATCTGTGCACCAGCATCAGACATTGTGTATCTGGAAGGGAAAAAGCATGTCCCAATCCTAAAATGCAGTTACCATACCCATCCCTTTAAGTCCTTAAAGTTAGAAGCTAGCAACTTTTCTGTAGTGGAAAATATGTTTATTGCTGTTTTTGTATTTGATTAGTATACTTACTATTCAATGCCTCTCTCCTGCAAAGCTTATCTTATTGACTGTGAATCTGTATATTACTCAGATGGATACAGATAATGATCTTTTTTGTGAGGTATCTTCATTTAATGCACTGTCCAAAAAGAGCCACGTGAAAGAGTCTTTCTCTGTATGAGGAACTACATGGAAAAGACTTCTGTGGACATAATTCTGACTTAAACCTATGAAGACACATGAAGTTACTTCATCGTGAGAAAAATATTATGTGGAAATCACCAAATATTTTACAACTTTATTTCATCTGACATGGAGTATCAGTTCATCTGACACAAATATCAATATAGGAATACTTTCATGCACAAATGGAAGAAGAAAACAGACGCCTAAGTGTGGCATTTCACATTTTAAGCCACAGGTGGACTTAGTTTAAAGGGAAGGGGTAGGCAATAGATTTGGTGCTAAGTTAATTGCAAATTGGTGACATTCACAGCTGCCAACCCCAGATGGTTTGTCCTAAAATGTTTACCTGGGAGAACTGGGGTTTATTTGGGAAGGAAAAGGATACTGCAGAAAATCCCTGTGTTAGTACTGCATGGTCATGTTCATGTGGGTGGCTACTGGGTGCTATGTAGCTTCACCAGGAATCTCAACTGTCCCAGCCCAGAGTGCTGGCTTTGTCCAAACTCAGTCTGGCCCTGCAGTGACTTTCTTTACTGTTGGAGCCATCTGTAAAGTTCCCCTCTACCAAAGGCAGAGACTGAGATGAGCTCCTGGACTAAAAGAGAAGGGACAGGATGCCAGGCAGCACTCTGTTGGTATAAACTGGTTTACTATAGATATTTTTCCCTTTGAACTAAATTCTAGAGTGTCTTTTTTTGTTGTTGTTGCTTTTTTAATCTCTTTCTCCCTAGGCCAGGTTTAGCTTTATTCACATTTTATTCTCCCCTTTCCACCTCAGACATCTACCCAGCCATTAGGTTTCATGTAAGGTTTGGACAATACAGATGTGCTCTAGAGGCAGTTGGTAAATATTTTTGGTAGCAAGAACCTTCACATAGTTTGCTCAGGCCGTTTTTCAGGACAAAGGGCAGAGCTCTACTTTATCCCTCTCCCAGTGTTGGGAATCCTCTTGACAGTTTCCTGTGCAGCTCATGAAACTTTACAAAGAGCATGCTTTAGTAGCATTTGACTTTACAGCTTCCTGGGTACCATCCTTGTTCACTATATTGGGCAGGAAGAGAGCCAAAAAATGGAGACTCGTGGCCTGATAATTAACCGTGAAAATTATGTCTTGTAACCTTCTTCAAGTGCATGGATACTACTTAAAATATAGCAGAGACGAGATGTGCAGGAGACGTGGCAGCAGAGAGGCCAGACCTTAACCAAAGATGCTGAAGTACAACATTCTGTCCTTGCTACTCTAGAAAGTCTTCACAGATGGGGTCACAACCATGTCATCGCTGATGCTATCTGTGTCAGCAGTGCTGGAGATGCTTTGTGTCTTTTTCTGTCTCCATTTGAAAAAGGTAATCATAAAGACAAGGTTTTTTTGTTGTTGTTTTAATTTACAGTCAGACTAATTATGTCCACTGGAAACAATTTTAGAATGGTTTCTTAAGGCTCTTTGAGAGTCATTTCAGTTTACCAGTTGTGGACAAAGGCCATGGGACTCTTCTTGGCCCATAAAACCTTATGAGCAAATCTTTAGATTCTGATGGCCAAAACATTTGTATTTTCAAGTACACTCTTTACAATGGCTAAGATTCTCTTTTTGAGCTTTTTTTCTCCTTTATATAATCATCACAGATGCCATTTCTTTTATTGACGATTATATGAGACTTCTAATACAGAAATGAACGGGTAATGGTGCCTCTTTATTTTAAAAAAGTTTTAAGAAAAGAGCCACCTCATTTCATAGTGTGTATTTTGTGAGTGAGTGAGCTTTTAATTAAAAATAAGGAAGTCAATCTTGTTTTACTTTTGCTGTAGTGGCTGATGTACGCAGACACTAAAACCCACACCAAGTCATGTGGGGATGAGGATCCTTGTTTTTGTTTTTGTTTTTTTCCTCCAGGTGGTTGCATAAGTCATGCAGTTCAAGTTCAGTATTCTTTATGCTGTAAGTTATTTCCACCTCAGTGGTGTTGCCCTTTGGGACAGTGGATATAACAAGAACTAAGAACTCTTGATTTATCCACACAAGACAAGCTGCTGGTAGACTATGTTACCCCTGTTTTTCCAGCTCAACCTCTGACAAAGTGGACTGATAGCCGCCACACTGGTCAGTCTTTAGTTTGCAGACTCAGGTTATCTTCTGGGAAGGTTTGGTTGGTTTCATCACTAGGATGTGTCACGTGAAGACCAAAACCAAATCCCTGTCATCATTTAACTCTACTTGCGTTATCTCTGGTAACACTAGAATGCTGCGGTCTTGAGGGGATGTTAGCAAGGAACACGCGGAAGGCTTGGTGTTTCATGAGCCTGTGTGGCTGTCTCATGTGGTACAGTAATGTTTACCGTGAGCAGGTACAAGCTTCATGAAATTTTCTTACTGAACTATAATTGAGTAGATAACCAAAAATACAATGACAAATGTATTTTAGTGGCAGACGAAGCAATTAGATTTAGGGTGAATTTTCCACTGTTGATTTTACTTTAAGACAGCAAGAAAATATTTTTGTTTTTAAGCTTTTTTTTTTTTTTAAACTGTAGTGGGCATGTGCTTCATTTACTTCCAAAGAGACAGAAGCAGCTGGATTTTACTTAACATACTGGTTTACTATAGATATTTTTCCCTTTGAACTAAATTCTAGAGTGTCTTTTTTTGTTGTTGTGGCTGTTGTTGTTTTTTTAATCTCTTTCTCCCTAGGCCAGGTTTAGCTTTATTCACATCTTATTCTCCCCTTTCCACCTCAGACATCTACCCAGCCATTAGGTTTCATGTAAGGTTTGGACAATACAGATGTGCTCTAGGCAGATGTAGGGGTTCACTAGAATCTAGTGCCTGATCTTTCTTCTTTTGGGAAGGGGTGGGAGTGAATGTATTGTGGATGGGAGGGAAACTGGAGAAGAAAACGGGAGTGTGAATGAGTGTGCATGTGTTGGAAATTCACCATCACCCCCCTGTTCTAGCAAGGGACAGGTGTTATATGTATTTTAGTCATGACCACAGTGTGCATGTATTTTTTTCCTCCCTCGTGTTTTCTAAACTTACACTAAAAGGATTCATCAAATCATCTTGTTCAGATGGCTCAGGATTGTATTTCTTTTGCTTACCCTGTGCTCTTGGGTTCTATAGTATTTCTATAATTATGTAAGAAGAATAGTGTTGCACTGTAATCTATCATATAGAGCTATATGTATGGAAAATTTTGATCAGTTTTTTAAGAGATGTATCCTGTTTGCAAAGGCACAATAAAGTTGCATCTTAGAGACTATAGGCAATAAAGCTAACAATAAACCTTATTTAACACAAACCATACTCCTACTCTCTGTTCATTTGATTTTGGACAAAGTCTAGCATATCCAGTAGTTTCAGGGATTTCATTTTAACTTAAAAATTCTGATATATTTAATTTATAAATTTCGGACTGAGATAATAAGAGTTTTGGAAAACTATAAGAAATGCTTTGTTAATGTGTGTATTCCTATGTAAAACACATGGCTTCTCCTGTGTATATTTTTAAAAATTAAATGTACCTTTAAAAAGTGTTTTGTGGAACCAGTCTGTGTAAACATGCCAGGTGATGGAGGTATGTGGGAGGGAGTAGGGAGGTACCACTTGTGAGAAAAGCCAGTCACTGTCTGCATTTACTACTAAGGGTCTGTGTGCATGGAAAGAATTTAAGAAAATGTCCCTGCCACCATCTCACCCCATGATGTGCCACCAGCAGTGTGAAAACAACTGGTGGCTGGGACTGTCTGGAGTTTCTAACTAGGGGCCTAGGCTCATCCGGGAACTTTGGCCTGTGATCTGATCGCACTGGTAGTGAGCCACCCTGGCAGCAGGGCCTGTCTGGGGTAGCCAGCCTTTTGGGCTGCTGGTGGGAGGGCCACCATGCTCAGCATTCCTGAAAGGAACCAAGGCTTAGTTGTCCTCGGTGATGAGCGAAGAGTCATAGGAATTTATTTGTGCTTGTTTTGTGTATTTTCTCTAGAGAGCGACTTGGTCATGTCTGAGATGAGAACTTTTGTACATTTTTTCAGTATATATTATTTTTGCAGGTATCCGAGGCAATCAAATCATTATAAACTCATATTCCTCCCTTTGAGGTAGGTACTAGTATCCCCATTTTGTGGTTGGGGAAAATGAGTCACAAAGAAATGAAATCATTTGTAGAGAACACGCAGTTAATAGAGCCAGGAAGCTGGTGTCACAGCCTCTGTGTGGTGGCCTTGAGTTCTGGGGGAGAAGCACTGCCGAAGCTGGGTGCTGGCTTTTATTCAAGTGTGTCCTATTCATTTCACTTAAGAGTATAGCCTCAATGTGCATTCATTTAGCTATAAATGTTTCTAGTTTCTCATTCTTTCTGGCTGAGTAGTACTGAATTTTATAGAAAAACCACAACTTCTTTATCCAGTCTCCAGTTGATAGGCTTGGGTGGGGGGGCAGGTTAAGTGCTGCCTCCCAGATGTCACAGAGCCATGCAGGGAGGACTTGCACTCTGGCCTGGTGGCAGGTGTGAGGAGCAGGGGCTGGTAGAAAAGGGAGAGTCACAAGGCAAAGACTGACCAGGATTTCTAAGGATAGAGAGGCTCTTTTACCATAAGAGCAGTTTGCTAAATGAACCACTTTGAGGCTCACTTCCACAGCCAGTTGATACCAAGATTGTGGCTGAATGACAGTCATTCATTACTTCCTGTTTTCTAAGATCCAAATAAATGCACTGTGAGCGTCTTCCACATAGCTTTGTAGAATCAGCGCTTCAGACTAGCAATTAACAATGTTGAGCCTGAGGCTGGCAGCTTGGAACTGCTGGGTTCTCCTACATGTGTTGAACAGGTGATTGCTCTGTTCATCTGAGACCCTGAATCCGCACACCACCCTTTAGCACACTAGGTTTTGTGGCTTGCACACTGCCGTCTTTTCTCCCTGGTCCAAGCACTAGTTCTAATGAAAACGTCTTCCTAGGTTGATAAGTAAGTAAGGGTAAGTACCCCCAATTCCAACCTTCCAACTGTAGTTCCATCCGAGCACTGCTGAGCACATGAGCTGAAGATTGAAGAGGAAACTACTCATGATGGGGATTTTTCACCCTGGCACAGTCTGCTTCACAAGTTTTTCCCACAAGGAGGAGATCAACCCAGTGTGAGATGGTTCTTGTCATTCCAAAGGAGTCTAGAGGCAGCACAGTGTCCAGGCTCTGGGTACCGCAGGAGCCTCAGCCTGGTGCTTGCCCTGAGCTGACCTCAGTCCTTGAGTACCTCCTTGTGCTGATCAGGTGAATGGGTTCACAGAGGAAGGTGCAAGAGCCCTTGTCTTGTCTCCAGAAGTTTCTCAGCTTCCTGTTTGCTTTCCCACGCACAGGGTGCTTCTCTAAAAGTGTCTTGGTTTTTAAAGTTAAGGTTGTGGCATGTCCTTATAGTTCCTCCTACTCAGGAGGGCGGGGCCAGAGGATCACTTGAGCTCAAGAGTTTGGGGCCAACCTGGGTAAAATAGCAAGACCTCATCTCAAACTTAAAAAAAAAAGTTGGAGATGCTGCTCAGTGGTAGAGCATGTGATTAGTGTGACTGTCACCTTGGGTTCAATCTCCAGCATGTGCATACCCGCACACGCACACAGAATACCAGAAAGGTTGTGGGCATGCATTAGGGAAAGAGATAAGGGGTGACGTTCTGCTTTTGACCTGCTTCTAGTTATGTGGGGGTGTTAGCTGTATGATAACACGCAGCTGTTCACCTAGGCCTTGTACATTTTTGGTTTTGGTTTTATTTTATTTTATTTTTTTTTGTATTTTACCCCAACAAAATGAAGATTTTGTGATAGATTTGGGAGGAGTACCATCTATTACCAAGAGACTGAAAGGAAGGAAGGTGATGGAAGAAATGGCTAACCCACCACAGTTCCTGTGGAATGAGTCCAAGGTGAGGAGTGCAGGAACTGACCTGTTAGTTATACCTCCAGGTATTTATCCTAAGGAAAATTTTAGCAGTTTTATTGTAGTCATGGAAAATTAGAAACAAATGCTAGGTAATAATTAAATGGGACACAACCAAAAATTGAGTGCTTTTTTTTTTTGTACTGGGGATCGAACTTGGGTCCTTGTGCTTGTGAGGCAGGCGGCAGAACCACTGAGCCAACCCCCTCCCCTGGCCTTGGGGGGGCTGCTATTTAACCATTTAAAAAGGCTGCTATAACACTGAAGCTATACTCAAGTGAAATAAATTCTGGTGTGAGAAACTGAAAGTATAAATAAGGATCAAAATGTATAATGTGAAATATGAAGAAAGGGTTCAAAGGGGAAGGGGGAGGTGTCGGGGAAATAACAGGAAATGAATAAATATGAGAAAAGGACAAAATGGAAGCAAAGTTTTTGTAAATAGGGAGAAATGGAGGAATTGAGAGGGCAGGGGAATGGGGAAAATAGCCAAGATAATAGCATGTAAAGGTACAAATTCACAATGATGAATGTCATTGTAAACCTAAAATGTACCAATAAACTAAAGAATTTTTAAAAGGATGCTGTAAATGTCTACTAAAGCCACTTGTAAAAGCATACTACTAAAAAACAAGGTAGATATTTTATATCAGTGCATAGAAAAAGAAGTTACACCTTAATATTAACCATGGAGTAAGAGTTGTGGGACATTTGTATTACCTCACCAAGGTGTGTCTCTTGGTTCCTGTGTAATACTATGACAAAACACCCACGTGGGCAGCAGGTTGGGTGTCAGCCTCCCCACCAGCCTCTTCTGCCTCTTCCTCATATCTGCTGAAGGTGAGGGAGACCAGAAATGGGCTGGCCAGCGCTCCAATGATTGGCTTTGAGTATAAATTGTCATTGGCGAGCTCACAAGCATGTTCTAATCCGGTGTCTCAGATTTGGAGATTCAGGAGGACCTTTGGCTCAACTTACTAATATTTGAATCATCTTGAAAAGTTTCACTGTCTGCTGTGCAAGGGCTGGGAGAGCAATTTGGCCTCAGGGATTTCACAGTGATTTTCTTTAGAGATGGAGGGATTCATTTTCCAGGATTGAGTTCACCCCTTCACTTTATTGAAGGAATTTGTACTATTATAATTTCTCAGTTTTCTTGTCTGCTTTCCCTAACACAGGATACTTCCCTAAAAGTATCTTGGTTTCAGCTGGTACAGAGACTATGTAATTATATGCTTCATTATAGAAATGTCTTCTGGGGCCAGGGATTTAGCTCAGTGGTTCCGTTGCCTGCCTTGTAAGTGCGAGGACCCGAGTTAGATCCCCGGTACCACCCCCCAATAGAGAAATGCCTTCCCGTGTTATAAGCATCATAGAACCTGTCAGGGCAGAAATCCTCATGTCTTCATTTCATCACCTCCTTGGGCCTTGAGTCACAAACACCTCACTTTGAGCCACTGGCCCACGTAAAAGAGTCCCAGTTGGCAGGCAAGGACTCCAACCTCCAACCTCCCTTGCTCTTGCTCCCATCTCAGGACTTCAGCCTCCTCTGTTTAGGCAGGGAAAAGGTTTAGACCAAAGGCCACTGAGGCCTCCTCCAGCTCCACCACAGTGCATGCATGTGGTAGACCCGATGGGTCCCAAGCTCTTGTGGATAGCAAGCAAAGAATTGCAAAGTGGACAGTTGGTGCTGAGGGAAAAGCAGCTGTGTTTATTGAAGGTCACAAACAGAAATGGACAACAGAAAAGGAACAGTGCAGGTGGTGCTGATAACTCAGGCTTTTGGGCTCAAAAAGGGGCTGCATGTGCTTTGACCTGGGTTTATATAGAATGCTCGTAGAGTGGTACCTGAACCCATGTGGGTAGATGGGAGTAATTAGGGAAGGATGGCCATAGGGTGCCGCTGGCCCTCAAGTGTGTGGAAAAGTGAATTCCAGCATCTCAGAACCTGGCTTCCTACCCACATCCCCCAGTATGTGCAATGGCATTGTGACTCATTGTGAACTGTAGACACTAAATGGTTTTGTTTTTTGTCAAAGTAAATAACATGAAGAAAAAGTAACTCACCCCACCCCAACTAAATAATGAGAATGAATACACAGGAAGACTGGAAAACCCAAAAGAGAAGCACTTGATCTCCAAGGAACGGTCCCAGTAGGAAGTCATGTAGTGGCTGTTGCACAGGCCAGTGCCATGTTAAACGAATTTCTCCGAAGGGCTGGGCTTGCCTCCAGATCTGGCTTGAGGCCTGAAAGAGAGGCAAGGTGACTGTCAGTGTAGCAAAGGCCCCTCCGAAGCAGTACCCGTGACCAGCCCCCTAACTCTCAGCCTCAGCAGTGTCTGAGAACTTGTCCCTGGAGCACCAATGTGGGATGGGGTGAATGGCCTCAGCAGCCCCCCAAGAGTGCTTCACTCCCACCGTCTTGTTTGATCCTCAAAATAGCCGTAGGAGCAACTATATGGAGATGGCACTGGGTGGGAGACATTAGAGAACTGCCCAGGGTTACTAACCAGGAGGTGGCTGAGGCAGGATCTGAGCCTGTTTAGCTTAGGTGCTTGGAGCCTTTGTTAAGGTCACCTGGGAGGTGAGAGGTTGGGGACAGCCCTAGCAGCTTGACTTAAAATTACCTTCAACGACCCAAACAAATTGGTGTTAATTCAATCTAGGGCACTCTTACGTGGGCTAATTTGTCACGAATGTTATACTCTGTTCTCTAAAACCTCTCTCCAGAACCTGAGTGGCCCTGGAGTCACTGAGTACATTCACTCAGCTGAGTGAATCCTGCAAATGAGTTTAATCTGCGTAGCTGGACCTTATTCTTGTGAAAGTTTCCAATTGCACTTAAGTAATGAAAATACTAAAAATCCTCGGATTTTAGTCTTTATCCTCTGGGATTATCACAACATATGCATTGGAAATTTGTTATATTTCCATTATTTCAAATAGTGATGTGTAAAGACGCTGAGCTTGGATTCCCGCAGAGAAACACCAAGGAGTTTACTACATTTGATCTACATTTGATTACTACATTTGATTCTCAGCCAAAAGGCTGAGAAGCGAACACCAAGGATTATAAAGTGCAAGCTCATATAAAACCTAAAATATTTTCATCTATTGGAAGGAATTGGTGCATTCAGTTGGTTATCCTGAAGTCTGTACATAATCAGTATAGACAAGTTCTTTAAAAACACATTTTTTATACAAAGTTGGTCGAGTCTGTAGAGGTAAAACACAAGGACCTGAGAAAGTGGCTATAAAGCAAGCTAGGGCTTTCAGCAGATTATGATGGAGTGTAGTCCCACCCTGCCCACTTGGGTGGGATTCCTAACCTCACAGCAGAGATCTGTGTGAGTTGGGACTGTGATGTCTACCACAGGTGGCTGATGTGAGGAGTAAGAGACATCACAGTGCCAGCCTAGAGCATTGTTTAGATGTTCCCTGGGGGCTGCCTCAGCCAGAGGCCCAGGGTGAGCACAGCAGAGGACTTTCTTACTGAAGGATTTTTGTTTTGTTTCATTTTTCTGAACATTTCAGAATCTGGGCTAAACTGAGTGGGGAAGCCGAGAGCTAATTGCTCCTTTCCTTCCCGTCCTTGGTGATAAGTCAGGCCCTGTGTTGACAAAAGGAAATTAGGACCAGAAGCCACTTAATTTTTAGTGTATGTGGAAAAGATGGGCTGTCCCATGAAAAATGAGACCATAAGTAGTAGAATCTGGATATAATTATTCCAAAAAAAAAGAGGCCACAGATAGTTGAGGACCTAGGAGGAACATGAGGAAGGCCTCTGGTAGTTTTTCTGACTCAAATTCTAAACCAATAGTCTCGCTCCACCCCACCCTACCCCCTTTTCTCAAGAACTCAGTCATATTGCCAGCCTTCGCCTCTTTTTGTTCAGGGCTTAGCTGACCCCCTGCTTCTGAGACCACAGCCATTCCCTTTCCCTGGGAAAGATTCCCTCTCCCTGTCTCTGGAAAGCCAGAAACAGGTGAGCCAGTCCAGCCAGGGATGAGACTCACCTGGGACATTTGCAAACACGATGTCTGTTCCCTGGATAAGAAGAAAAGGGGAAAGTGAGTGCTCCTGGCTCTTTCCCTATGCAGTTCCTCCTCGTTTTCAACCTTTTCCCGCTCCTCAAACATCAATTTAAAAACATTGCCAATGCAGATGTGGGTGAACTTGGCGATTCTGCAGACCTGCGCTGGCACAGTGACATGCATGGAGAGGTAGAGGATGGTAGGATAGGGGCCAAGGGAAATCTTGAACCAGTCGTTGTTTTGACCCAGGCTTCCTGGGCACAAGCCCCAGACTCACAGACACTCCCATCCTGGCCTCAACTCTGCTAGCTGAGCTTCGCTGGTGGAACACGAACACGTGCTCCTGCAGTTTAGGAATAAGACGCTGTTCTCCAAAACTTCCCGGCTTTCCTGACTTCTAGCTCCAGGAAAAATGAGCTATGCTGGTTTTGCAATGTAGCTCCGCAATCCCCAAAAAGTGAACGCTATCTCCTGTCCAGGGCTGCCTAGAGCGAGGGCCAAGGGCGGGCACGGGGGAGGGGGGCAGCCTCCTCTCCACGGTGGCTCTCCAGGACTTACTGCGGAGGCAGACGACAGCGAGGACCAGGGACAGCAGAAGGACCGCGCAAGTCCCGGCCAAGGGCGCCCAGATGTAGACGTCGCAGGTAAGATCCAGCCACCTCGTGTTCGCTGACAACACCGGAGCTTCGACATTTAGCCACTGGCCGGGATTGCCCTCCTGCCCCACCCCGCCATTCCAAGCACTGCTCACCGCCCGGGACTCGGTTTCCCCAAATTTGGACCGTCCTCCAGGATCAGGGTGGCTCCCGATGTGAGTGTCCCCAGTGGTCCGCCAGGAGCTCTGGGACCCACACCCGCCTTACCTTTGCTGCCCTTGGAGAGCACACAAGTCTCGGGGCTCACTGACCGGGACGACGCGCTGGGTGCCTGCGTGGTGGGAGGCGGAGCAGGCGTCGTGGTGGGTGCAGCTGCGGGAGCAACAGGGTGGATGGGTGGGGTTGGGCAGGGATTACAGACTGGTCGACTCCCGGGCCCTCGCCTTGCTCCCCTATGCCCTTTCACCCCTATACCCTTTTACCCCAGGGGCACCTCCCGTCGGTTCCCCCAGCAGGGAAGGAGGGACGTTGGGTAGGCTGCCCCTGTTGCGGTGGGCAGAGCACTGTCCTTCGTCCAGCCCTCCATGGGTGCCGCAGCTATCTGTGAGCCAGGGCTGCTATCTGGATTCTACTAGGGCCCAAACCGGAGTGCAAAGAATTTCAGTAACTCTCAGGACCACACAAGCACCTGAGCCTAGGGCAACCGGGACAAAAAAGCATATCCAGTTCCTATTCAGCCACACTGTAGCCAGTTTTCTGTTCTTTGAAGTGGAAATAGTATCTAAGAACCCCCCAGGAAATTAAGAAAAACCATTTCGGGCCAATTGTGGCGGCGCACGCCTGGCTTTAATCTCAGCACTCTGGAGGCTGAGGCAGGAGGAACACCCTGAGCTCTAGGCCAGCATGACCTACATAGCGAGCTCCTGTCTCAAAGAACCAAAATATAAAATAAAATGAAAAATGAGTTTGGGGGTGAGCCTCAAGCCCCACGCGAAGAGGCGCCGCGCCCTGCGCTCCAACCTGGCAGAAAGACGGGAAGGAGGGGGCTGAAGTAGAGAACCGTGTTGGCGACGACCGAGCAGAAATAGTAGCCTTCGTCCTGCTCGCGGAAGCCGTTCACAGTGAGGGTGTAGGTGTTACTGCTCTTGGCGCCCATGAATCGCTTCTCGTCCAGACCCGAGGCTAGCTTGGGCTGCGACCCCGACTGGTACATGAGAAAGGTGGGACTGCGGGTGGCGCCGCGCGGCTGGAAGAGCCAAGAGCAGCCCGGCAGCACGTTGCGTACTAGCACCTCGCAGCGCAGCGTCACCTTATCGCCCACTCCGGCGACCACCTTCTGCGGCGACATTCGGAACTGGTTGGACCCTTGGGCCTCAGCGGCGTCTGCGGGGTTGGAGGGGGCAGTGAGGCTGATCCCGGAGCCCCGACCCCCTCCTCACCTGCGCCCCCTCCCCGCTCCCCGTGCTGGGGTCGCGACTCACGGAGCAGCAGGGCCACCTGCAGCAGCAGCCAGGCGGTGAGCCGCGGGGCCATGGCGTGCGCTCCTCCACGCAAGGCGAAGCCTGAAGCTGGGCGCGAGGGGAGGCGCCCAGAAACCAGGGGCCGCGGAGGGGGGAAGTTGCACCCTTGGGCCGGCTTCGGGGCCCAACATCGAGTTTGGAGGATGTGATGTCACTTGAAGCCCCCACCGCGTACATTCGACTTCTTTACGCGGTTATCACCTTTCAGCCCAGAGTGTGTTGGGGGCCTGGGAGCTGTGAAAGGGGCCTGGCGGAGCAACTGTGGGCCCTGAGAACTGTGGGCTTGGGGATGGGGAAAAAAGCTTGGAAATGGCCATGGGCATGGCTTTTTGGTGGCAGTGACAGAGAGAGAGGATAAAGAACAATTACAGTTTTACAGAAACCAGGGCTGGAGTACAGGAAGGGAGAGAAGCTCCCATTCGTTTGTCCTCACTCTATGTGGCCTTGGGGTGTCTCTGGTCTGCACACCTGGCCACCCCTCCGGGACTGGAAAAGGGCCGCCCAGGCTTCCCTTCCAGAGGGGACTGGATAGAGCCAGCAGCAGCGCAGCTTCCGTGGCACCCGCCTCTTCTGCTAACCACACCCATCAGCGCTGTCTCCAGGGTCAGAGCTCACCACACAGCCCTATCTCTTCTTAGGGCAGGCAACAGCCAGCAAGCCAGCCTATAACTCTATAAAAGTCACTCTAGTGAGGGCGTATGACTGCGTCACCCTTGCAACTCCCCTGCACCTGGAATCTCAACACCCTGGCTCGGTTCACCAGCCTTTGCTGGGCGGGGGCTCCTCCCAGCCTCTGCCGCGCAGCAGTCTCTCCTGCCCCAGGCTCTCGGGCTTTAGGTGCCCATCCTAAGTGCTCCTCTGTGCTTTCCAGCCTGTGCCTGCCTGCTATCTGTTTACCCCACGGCCAACCCCAATATCCTCCCTATCTGACTTGCGCTCCATTTCTCTCCTTCCCCGTACTGGGTGCTAGGAGAGAGATGTTGGGGGAGGGGTGCTCGGCTTGGTGAGATTTTCCCTCTTCTGTCCCTGGCCCACTTTGTCCCTTCCTTCTTGCGTGTCGCTGTCCTGAAACCTTCCAGCCTCGGTGCTATGCTTTCCTCTCCTTTCTTCAGTGTCTCACGTCTTCCCCTTAGGACTCCATACTGGGCACACCTTCCATCACTGCCATTGATTCCCAACACAGCCACTTGGCACCCTGCTCCCTCACCTGCCTCCACCCTTGAGCCCAAGGGTGTCCCAGACTTCCTGATGTGTTCTCCACCCCTCCCCTCGTTGTCACAAAGCTGCGTGGGCTGAGCTGTGTTCACAGAACTGCCCTCCCCTGATAGGGTCTACATGGAAGTAAGCAAGTGTTGGATGGGCTTTTTATTTGCTTATTTATTGTGGTGCTAGGGATTGAACCTAGGGCCTTGTGCATGCTAGGCAAGAGTCCTACTACTGAGCTGTATCCTCAGCCCTTGGGTGGGGTTTTTTTTTTTCCACCACTACCACCACCCCCCAGCATCCAAAGTGCTTACTCTAACATGGAACATCTTATATTTAGAAAAAACAATTTTAAGTGTCTTTTAAATTATAAAAATATTCTTTTTGACATAGTGGGGTACTGGAGTACTGGGTACTGGAGATTGAACCTCTAGCCTTCATACTGAGCCACATCCCCAGACCTTTTCTTAGTTTTATTCTGAGATAGGATCTCAGTAATTGCTAAGCAGTCCAATCTGAGCTCAGATTTGTGATCCTCCTGCCTCAGCTGCCCAGAATATTGCACTACCAGACCTGGTAAGAGTAGTATATTTTTGCAAAACATCAGATAATGCAAAAAATGAGTACAAAGTCCTCTGTCTTAATGCTCTTGACTGTCATCACTCTAAAGAAAACCACCGTTATGACTGAGTGTGTTCCTCAGATATTATCTGTGCACAAGCAGATGTTTATGCACTGTTTTAGACACATTGGGATATATATTATATGTATATATTGCAGTTTACTTTTATTAGTTAGCAGAAGGAAACTTTTCACGTCAGCAGTTATAGATCCACCCCATTTATTTATTTATTATTTATCTCTTTATTGGTTTTTTGAGACAGGGTCTCCTGAGGTAGTTCAGGCTGGCCTTGAAGTGATCTTCCTGTCTCAGCCTGTCAAGTGTTGGGATCACAGACATGCATCAGCACACCTGGCCCATACCTTTTTTAAAAAAGTGTACATTTTGGGCCAGGGATTTAGCTCAGTGGTTCCAGCGCCTGCTTCACAGGCACATGAGCCCGAGTTCAATCCCAGGTACCAAAAAACAACAACAAAAAAATAAAATTGTTAAAAAGGCGTACATTTTATATGTGCATTCCATCATTTAAATCTCCTCCTATTAATGGCCATTTCATTAGTTTCTCAGTTTATTCAGCTGTATCAGCTCTGCTGTGTTATAGGTACCTGCACCACTGAGGATTGCACCAGTATGAGGAACATTTTCAAATGGAAGATGAAAAAGGTGGGGAAGGAAGAACCTTGGCAGGGAGTGGCAGGCACAGGTGAGGGCATGCGTATGAGCGTGTGTGTGTGTCCTTGACTATTTACACGCTGTGCTGCTCCTCAACTCAGATGAATGAGGGGAACAAGGAAGCAATTAAGTCCAGACAGGTAACCGCCATGGCAAGCCTTGCTCCAGATGCAGTTTCCCATTTTGCTTGGTCACTGTCGCCCCTGCAGGAGGAGTATCTGGTGACCCTGCCGGCCAAAGGATACAACTGAAGGGTGGTAAAGAGGATGGATGGATGTGAAAGTACACCTTGCCCAGTTAGGGAGGAGATTTGGGTCTAGGGAGGGAGATTCCCCAAGTATGATGATGGCTGGATTTTGGGGGTATACTACTTGAAAATACAGAGGTGTTCCATTCCATCTCAATGAAGTGAGCTATTGCTGGCTTAGGGGCTTTCTGGCCTCACAGCTAAGCCAAAGCTGGCAGTCCCTTTGCACAGAGCATCATGGGGGGCACGTCAAGGCAGCATGTCAAACTCACCAAGGAAGCTTTGTTACCCCAAAGATATTTTTTACAATTGGTGGTGGATTCTTGATGTGACCACAGCGGCATCCGCTCTGCAGCAGGCAGAGGAGCAGATGCAATTGCACAGGCTTGGAAATGCAGGCTTTCTGTAGCCCAGGTGTGCAGAGCATTGTGCTGTGCTTGCTTGTCATATGCAAGTGAGCTCACACACCCCAGCCTGTTGTGCTCACATGGGGTGAAGAAGAACTGGGAATGACTGCACTGTCACACCAATCCCTTGTTTTCAAAATACGTAGAGAAAAACAAAACAGACAGGTCTTTGCTATTCTCAGAATACCTGTTCACTTTTTTCTTTTTGGAGTCAGGGTCTCACTATGTAGTTCAGGCTGGCCTTGAACCAACTATGGAGCCCAGGCTGATCTGGAACTCGCAGTGATTCTCCTGCCTCAGCCTCCCAAGTGCTGGGATTGCAGGTATGTGCCACCATGCCGGGCAAAATGTCTGCTTTTGAGCCATGGCAATAAAAAGATTTTAATTCACACAAGTTACAAACTTTCAAAATTCATAACCAGGCAGGGTAGTAATAGGAAGTTCATCAGGGCTCTCTGCTCCAGCTCCTAAGTCATGCATTCAAGGGACCAAGTGGAATCATAGCTATGAAGTCGCCTGCTGTCTCCCCTGGCCAGTTCACTTCTACAGACACATTATGGGTCTCCCTGTTTGCAACCCTGGAATTTCCAGGGCTTTGCTCTCAGTCATAAATAACATGTCAATGCAAGCTCACTTTGGCTGTTCTTACTTTACTGTACCCTGGATCCTCAAGTTCATCTGTGCTGCTTTCACCTTCAGCCTGGATCTTTGCAATGGTCTCCTAACTTCTGCCCTCTCCTGCCCAGTGAACATCTCCTCATTCTAACCCTCTGCCCCAGCCCAAAAGGGCTTCCCAGGTCTTCAAGAAATACTTGTTCAGTCAAAGCTAAATGAAGGCCAAAGTGGAATATAGCAGAGCCAAAGAGGCCAAGAGAATTAATTTCATGGGACGGTGGTCAGGCAAGGCTTAACAAAAGGGGATGGGTTCAAAAGTGAGTTAAGAATTAGGAGAGTTGATCAGGAGGCATTTGATTGGTACAGTTAAAAATTTAAAAAGGTGGAAGGGAGAAGGCAATTCACTCAGAAGCAAGATGGGCATCTTCATGGATGGAGTGGGAACCAGAGTGGAATCAGGGCTGGCTTCCTGGGCTCTGGTCATTCTTGGGTCTGGCCCTTGAGAATCCATTCTCGGTATGGAGGCACCAAGGGTTTGACACTTATGGCTAGCAGACTCCCAAGGTGTTTAACCTGTGGAGTGAAGCTGGAGCCTGGCTTTCTCTTGAAACAGGTGCTTGGAACTAGATTTCTATTGATTTGGAAGGTTAGAGCCCACAGCCACCAGTGTAGGGCCTGGTTCCTACTGGGAGCCCTGAAAAGCAAGAGACTGCTGAAAAAATCAGGAGAATGGAATATAAAGAGAAGAGATTAAATTTTTTTCTATCCAAGAGAACCTTGCATGCAGACTCAAAATCCAAAGTATATGTAAGACTCAACAGATCCACCCCCAAATAAATGCAAATCACACACCAATGTGAAAAGGGTTTTATTCAAAGAGAACAAGAACTTGCAGAAAATAAATTAGTCAAGAACAATTCAAGATGATAAATACTGAACATACTAGAAAGGAAAACTCAAGGTGGAAAGTAGGATACACTCTAAATTGAACACAGTTGAAAGAATAACTTGTGAACTGGAAGCCAGCACTGAAGAAGTCACAGAGAATGCAATGCAGGGATGCACATACACATGCAGTTTAAAAAGCTGTTGCAAGGTAGTTTGGCACTGTGAAATGTTTCCTAGGATTTCAGAGAGAATAAAGGATGTGTGCACAAAGTATATGGGAAGAGATTGTGGCAGAAAAAGTTTCACAATTAAAAACATAAGTCCTTAAGTAAAAAAAAAACAAAAACAAAACCTTGTCACAGTGCCAAGTGGGATAAATAAAATTATATCTATTTCTGTACACAGACATCAAGAACAAAGACAAAGGCATCCCAGGAAGCTAGGCTAATGCTT